AAACGAATTACGAAAGCCGAACTTTCCTTTGCAATAAATAACTTCACCTCCGGCATATTAAAAGACGTATCGTCCAATTTCGCAACAGACCAACATTTCAGTCCTCGTTTGAACGCAGTCCGAAAACGGGGACTTATGGATTGACCTCTGTGCGTGCGTCCGTGCCGACCTATATCTTAAACATGCCTGAACCTATCTGATTTCACGGTCTGATTCAAGAATCATTGAATCATTCATCGAATTGAAACATTTCTGGCATTCCGGAACCGATTCTCAGCTGTTTACAGATGGATTTTGTTCAAACTTGGTACATGTACATACATTGGACATTATAGGACCTTGGTCCACGTCATTTTGTTTTCCAGATCGGATTCCAAATAGCCGACTGGCGGACAGTTTGTTATAATGAACGTTGTTTTAGTGTCATAATTTTGACATGCTTTGACTGACTATGTTCAAATTTTATATATTCACTATACATTATGTCATAGATATTGGTATTATGTCATATGTCATAGGTATTGGTTTGACAATCCGATTTAAAATGGCCGACCGGTGGCCATTTGTTTTAATTAAGAAGTACTCCTTCAACAAATAGATACAAGATGACTGAATGTAAATCATTTTAATGTTTAAAAAAATCACCATAATCTGAAGCATCAGCTTCTGGATCCATATCCCAGACATGTTTATGTTCAAACCATATTACTGTAAAAAAAACAATATATTTAAAATGTAATAACTAACGGGCACTGTGTCTTACCTGGCTTGTTGTTCTTCGTATTGAGTGCGTTAGATGTCAGTATCTAGCAGACTCGCACACAACGCAGTTAGTTACACCGTCGCCAGTTCGTGCTTTCCACCATTTAGACCCCCAAAAAATACATTTATCACCGCCCCCACTTACACACACTCGTGTAGCATATGAATGCATTTGTGACGATTAACAATCTCCACATAGATACATGTGTTTCAATTTACAATGTGAATAATTTAATATAACATAATATGATTTGTGGACTCACAAATATATAAGAATTACAGTTGATATTCTGACCAAAGGGTGATATAAATCTGCAAGTTGGCATGTACGTATACACATCTATATCGTGGCCTGAATATTAAGCTTCTGAATAATATGACGTAATACCAAGATTTCGTGTGAATACTGTGTTTATTTTACTACTTAGCAACAATATAAGATTTCTGACCAGGATGTAAATATGAAAACAAGATTTATTAGTATTTATATTCATGGGGGAGAAAATTTAATAATGAAATAAAAAATGTCATTCGATTTGTAATTAATTAGTGATTAACCAATCAATCAATCCAAGGATATTTTACTATACACAAGATTACACTTATTCAGCTTTTCTTAAAATATGTTTGTTTGCTGTAATTCCATTCTCAGATTACTGGGACGGTACGTAAAAACACTGCATCTCATCGAATATATAAATAATAAATACGTAATGAAGTAGAGATTGAAACAACTGTCCACGCATATTGATTAAATGTAATAAGTCTCAATTCAAATTTAAATTTAACAATTATCACATCAATAATCAGACTATTATTTCTGCCGGGATGTTCAAGTTATCATTGAGGGGCGTATTCGAATTGGTGTGACGTTTAATGTGAAGACCGTTTTCTCCAGAGAAGGTAGCGTTCATGGGTCTCGCTACATCCAGATTGTTTTCTTCAGGTATGATTCTGTCTTTAGAATGATTAGTTTGAATTGCAGTAGAGACATGCGCACGCACATACACACACACAAATAATGGCCCATTCTCTACAAGACTCGAGTGCGCATGCTTCAAATTACATCACGCGTAAGCTGCATGCTGTGTTGTGGGTGTACATATACATATATAGACGGGATAGAAAATCGAAATCTCGATGACGG